CAAGGGCTTTCTGTAGTTTCATCTGTTTGGGGACTTACTGCCTCTTCTTTCCATCCCTAGCGCCCCCTCATTAGCTGCTGCCTTCCCAACTGTTTGCTTCTAACAGGGACACTTTTTACTTCTACAACAGGCAGCCCTGGTGATAGGCCAATGACGGAGACAGTTCTTTGCTGAGCTGGTCAGGGAGTGCACCATTCTGTGTCTTTGCCAAGGATCAGAAGCACAGATTATGGGCCACAAGGCAACATGCAGAAGAACTTTATCGCTCACAGGAAATTAATTAGTTCATGACTTTGCTGTGGAATTAAACAATCATAGTTCATCTGTGCATATGTAGTTGCCCTGGTAATGAAAGAAAAAAAGTGTAACTGAAGAAAAAAATCTCCACCATATCGGTAACTTAGGTTGTATTTTACATACAACACACTTGTATGTGAAAACTACTGATCCCCTATTTTCTGCTATTGAAATGGTGGTTTATGGTAAATTCATAGCTGTACCTAAAGGAATTTTGATTCCTTAGAGACTCAAGCAGCAATTCTAAAGTAGTCTTTTCATTGAAAGCAGTTGTTTCATTGTCTTTTCTTTGAATTGTCCATGCTTGTAGTGACATGAGGGAGTAATTTCAGTAAGGTGTAGCTCCTGAATATCTGCATGTTCTAACTCATTACCTCAGTCATATTCAGGAATTTCTAATTTGGAGTAGATAGACACATAATAATGGGTCACAAAAGTGACTTCTTTGTGTCAGTCATATAATCTGTCAGGTTTGCAGGTGTTCCTTGAAAAGATTCATGTTGAAGATGCATTTACTGCCAGCAATCCTCTCAGTGGCCTTACACCAGCAGCAGACCTGTGCCATTCTCACTCTGACCACTCAAGCTGCTAGCTACTTCAGCTGCTGCAGTTTTGAGGAAATCATGGGTCAGGCAACAAAAGAGAAACAATAAAAACCAAATGTCAGATCCACTTTCTCAATGGGTTTTTCTTTTAATTATTTAATTTTTGTCAGCACTCTAGGCTTTTGTGCTATTCTCCCATAAGTATGTCCTGAAAACCCCTGTGGTCACACACTGCACTGCTTTGGTGTGATCCTGACATTAGCAGATCTGGATGCCACGTTCTTGCTATATATGCTTCTACACTGTTTATATTCTTTTACAAGTCAATTTGAACATGCAAAATTTGCTGACACTTTCACCATTTTTCCTCTGCTTATGTATAGGGCTACCATCATCATCAAGATTACTTTGTTGTGCCACAGTCATGGTCATTGTCAAGAAAAACAAGAGGTTCTTTAGAAGTTTATGATTTCCAGTCTGGATGAAATGCTTGGGCTCAGTAATTTCTTTTTTTTACACTATATGCTCTGAAATACTTAACTCTCTTACATTTGTTTCACAGAAATTATTCTGTAGTTGGATGCTTTTTCCCTGCAGTTTTTTTAATCATGCTTTGTCTGAGTGGTGACGGAACCGTATGGCACACAGTCCTCCAGATGCCTCCAGATCTGTCTGTCTTTTTTTCTTTTTTTTTTTTTTAATTTCTTTAAGCAGGCACACTCCCTACCTGTCATTTTTTCTTAGAAAAGTAACCACTTTATCATCCATATACAACGGAAACTACTTAGACCACTGCCAGGCTAACAGCTTAGAGGTCTAAGATCTTAAAGCATGTTTGACAATGTTTCAGTGAAGTAAGATATATTTATCTTGCATGTCTGAGCTATTTCCTTTCAGAAAATGGCATTAGCAGTTGCAAATAAGCAAGCCTTTTTGGACTAATGAACTGAATATGATGTAATTGTTTTAACACACTTTCTATCTTAATCAGATAATTATATGGATATAAAAAATGTCTCAGTTTTCTGAGCCAGTCCAAAACAGACTCGACATCATGGATAATTTCATCCTGGTTATAAATGTAATATTGCAAGTATTAGCTAAGTAGATTAACAGGGCATCATAGTTCTGGTTGAGACTTCCATACAGAGGCAAGAAACTTAAAATATTTTTCAGCTATGGCAATGGCAGAAGGCTGAACTTAACTGTCTTAAAAGCCTTCTGCAGCCCTAAGAACTCTTGTTTTCTTAGCTTTGATGCAAACTTGTGGTACAAATAAAACAGTTCTTCCCCTGTACCATGGAGGCATGTCTTGTCATTTGAGATGATTCTTATTGCAACATGCGCCGGGGTTTGATATGTGAGAAGAATAACGGCCTGGACAACAAAACTCAGAACACAGCCTGAAACTTATTACATGCAATTATTGTTGGGTTTTTTTTTTTAATATGGGCAGCCTCAGGTGAGACAAAGATGACTAGATTTCCTTTTATGACAAGGTAACCCACCTAGTAGATCAAGGGAAGCCAGCTGATGTAATCTTTTTGGATTTCAGTAAAGCTTCCAATACAATTAAATGTCCAACCCACAGATGGATAAACATGTCATGCAGCAGGGGAGCAATTTGCTCACGGGTCAAGCACAGAGGGTGACAATGAATGGGGTGACATCAGACTGGTGACCTGTCACTAGTGGGGTTCCACAGGGCTCTATCTTGAGCCCTGTACTCTTCTACATCTCCATAAGTGACTTGGACGCAGGACTGGAAGGGACACTGAGCAAGTTTGCAGATGACACAAAACTGGGAGGAGCTTTTGACTCCCTTGAAGGCAGGGAGACCCTCGACAAATAGAGGGCTGGGCAATCACCAACCATAAGAAGTTCAACAAGGAAAAGTGCTGGATTCTGCACCTGGGACAGGGCAACCCTGGATGTTCATACAGACTGGGGAATGAGATACTGGAAAGCAGTGCCAAGAAAGGGACCTGGGGGTCCTGGATGATGGCAAGTTGGCCGTGAGACATCAGTGCCCTGGCAGCCAGGAGGGCCAACCATGTCCTGGGAGGCATCAGGCAAAGCATTGTCAGCTGGTCAAGGGATAGGATTGTCCCGCTCTGCTCTGCACAGGGGCAGCCTCACCTTGAATATTGTGGCAGTTTTGGGCACCACAGTGTAAGAAAGATATTAAGCCATTAGAAAGTGTCCAAAGGAGGGCAATGAAGATGGTGAAGGGCCTTGAGGGGAAGTCATGTGAGGAGTGGCTGAGGGCACTTAATCTGTTCAGCTGCAGAAGAGGAGACTGAGGGGAGACTTCATTGCAGCTGCAACTTCCTTGGGAGGGATAGAGGAGGGGCAGGCACTGATCTTTTCTCTGCAGTGACCAGTGACAGGACCTAAGAAAATGGCCTGAAGTTGTGTCAGGGGAGGTTTAGGTTGGATATTAGAAAAAGGCTCTTCATCCAGAGTGTGGCTGAGCACTAGAAAAGGCTCCCCAGGGTAGTGATCACAGCACCAGGTCTGCCAGAGTTCCAGAAACATTTGGACAACGGTCTCAAGCACATGGTGTGATTCTTGGAGTGGTCCTGTGTGGGCCTAAGAGTTGGACTCAATGATCCTGATGGGTCCCTTCCAACTCAGCATATTCTGTGATTTTGTGATTTTTAGGAAAGAATTCATTTCTAGGAAGAAGAGCACCTTTGTCCTAGCATGTGATCCTGAAAGATCACTTCAAGGGGGAAGAAACGAAACCCAAAAACTCCTCCAGTGGAGGCACTCTGCAAAGAAATAGGAGAGAATTGAGGAGGCAAGTGTATGCAAATCACCAGGTTCCTGTAGAGACAAAATAAAGTTAGAGTCCAAGGAGATCGTGTATGTAGTCAACTAGAAGTAGGAGGTTCATGATTTGGGGAGTACTGTTCAGCTGATAAAAGGATAGAATTCTGTCAGGTAGTAATAAAGGCTGCATGACAGGTGTCAGAGAGGGCCTGTGTAGTGTCCAATAGCGGCCAAACTGTAAGGATCTTCACTCATGTCGTCTGCCTGTGTACAGCAAGGAGGAACTTGAATAAAGCTCTTCTCAGAGTTCAAGGAGCTTTAATATGTTTGAAGGATGCTCTGATACATGCTTTTATGCAGTGCTCTGGAAATAAGAGGCTGAAACTGGGTCAAGACAGCAGTATTCTTCACAGCACATTATTTTAAATTGCGAGATGCATTAGAAGGCCATAGTGGTCTCTTCTTTCCCTAAGAGGTTGGGGAAGATAAACTGTGTGTTAATGCAAGTTTTGAACAGATAATTTCTCTGCTGTATTTCTGTGGCAGAAGGTTGTCAGACAGATAGTCTAAGGAAAAGCAGTTTACATTAGTTTTCTTCTTATTTATTTCTGCTTAAAGCAGGAAGAAGTAGGTGGAGCTGTTGACTCTGCATAATACTGTAAGTGGGACATGTGGATGCATAGACTCTATTGTAATGGTAAATCTTGCCTTTGGCCCGGTGACCCAATAACACATACGTTAGTAGCTGCATCTTTCTATATCACAGAATTTTAAAACTTGTCCATGCAATTTTCTGTACATACAACTTGGAAACGTTGATGTGCTCCAAACTCGTGTACGTTTTCCTTCCTCAGATATTGTCATTTATATTTGGGATTATACTATGCATTTTTTGTGCTCATTAGTAGCTGACACAGTTTTTGAATGGTGTTAAATAGTTTAAGGAAATAACTGTGTTTTAAGTTGTCCATGATTATAGCTGTGAAAACTAAGTAGATAGGATGGTCATAACTCTTATGGTTTTACTTCAAGTGAATAGCAACAAAGTTCAGTGCTCTAAAACAGACAATCAAACAAAATGTCTTTCGTAGGAATAAACACCAAAAGTTTTCTTGCTAAAAAGTATAACTTGAAAGTAAGTGTTGGGAAACCTTTACTATGTATACGTTAACTGTACATTCATCATTTAAATTAAAATTAATCAAAAGCATGCTGAAAGCCTGTGCTGAAATGTGACTGAATTAATTTTCTCTGTTCTAGGGATATGTTTTGAACTCTGGAAACTCTTGCTAATGGACGCAGATTTTACTTTTTTTTTCTTGAATTTGTCGAAGCACAGTATTAATAACATTGTACTGTCTTCTTTTACTTTTTTGGCTTCTGCATGTCTTCTCTCTTCATCTTCTAGATCGGGATAGCCTTCAATTCCTTCTCTTTCCCTTTCTGCTCTTCTTTGTTCCCATAGCATGGCTGCATGGAAGAGGTTTATTGTTCCAGCTATGTTGTTTGGCAGCTGAACAAAACAAGCATGTCAGGGAGGGGAACAGGACAGGTAGCTCTGACATAGCTTCACGCTACCAACTCCTCTAGATATACAGGACAACTTTGGTTACATAACCCCATCCGGTATTTGGAAAACCAGGTTCAGACTGAAAGGGACCTGGGGATCCCATGGCTATGCCTGCGATGTTAAATGCTCCCTTACTCAGTCCAACAAGGGAGCACAGAGAGCCAGTGGAAGTGGGCTCTTTCCATGGCTCTTCCAGGGAACCCACAGCCCCATGGCACTGCTGTGACACTTATTATATAAAAAGTCAAAGTTGGAGCACTTGATGAGCTGAGGGGGTTCCTGCCTAGACGCAGGGAGTGTGCTAGGGGAAGAATATTTTAGAATTGCAGAGGTCTTATAATAGGTAGTTTACGGAAGAAACTAAAGATGAGGAAAAAAAAGGATTTGGATGATATGGGGAGGAACAAGTTGGCAAAAACAGAGAGATAAGGTGACAGAAAGAGATGGTTGTTTTTAAACAGTTTGCTAATCAATACGCTTGTCTGCCTGTGCCATGTGCCCAATAAGCAGAGTCTGTCCTGTCTTCTTATTTTATTAATTTCTAGCTTTGCTTTCCTGGGTTCAGGGCTATGTTCTCTGCGTGGGTGTGGGCATACTGAGGTCTCAGTGCCAGCAGCTGGAGTCAGACCAAACCAGGGGCTTGGAGGGCTCATGGTAGTGGCACCAGCCTCTGACAGGCTATGATTACATGTGCACATGTGGTGCATTTGTGTGCTCTGCATCTGTCCGAGTTTTTAATTATCTCTGGATTTTAGTGTCATTTAAAGACAGCTCAAGCCATGCCAAAGTAGGGAAATTTTGAAACACTTGATTCCTCCATAAAGTGTCTGGTAACATGACAGATGGCAGTTTTAAGTTAGTTAGAGATATGGCAAGGGGTTTAGAATTTTAAGGCATCCAGCTAATTGAGATCACTATCCCACATAACACAGTCATTTAATACTGAAAGTCACACACATTTCAATGGGCCAGTAGATGAATTTTTATCCATTTATAATAAGGGGAAATAGGGGGGGTTGATAAGTGAATTTTGAATTTTATTTTTTTCTGTATTGTCATTACTCTTTTCTTCAATTATTTCTTTTATTTGTTTTTTTTCTGCCATTTGTGCTGGGTTTTTCCTTTGGCTTTAGGTTGGTTGTGGGTTTGTTTGGTGCTTTTTTTTTCTCCTGCTGCTGCTTTGTGGAAGAGAAATTATCATTTACTGGTCTCCCATAATACTTCCACATTTCTGTGTTTTGGCATGTTTTTCAGGAGGTAGGAGTTACTGTGGGACAAGATCCAGAATATTTGAGTGACTGATTTCAGTCTATTCCATCATCTTGGACAATATTGACACCAGTCTGAGTAATGCTAAACTAGTGCATCCTTCACAACTGTAGGCCTTCTTCACTGAAGATGTTAATGATCCCCTCAGCTTCTTTATGGCATTACACTTTGTCTGTTCCAAGGGCTTTTGGTGATAGTACAGCTTGGATTCTTCACTCCTGAGATTGTAAAAGCTTGAAAGACAGACTTGCCATGAGGTTCCTTATATTCCTTCATGTTGTCAATCCTTATTTAGAGATAAAGGAACTGCAGCTTTCAACTGAATGTGATGAAGCAGTCAATGCCTCACAGTGGTTAAGAATTACTGAGTTTATACACAGGATATTTCCTCAGTTTCTTCCAACAGTAATCACTTAATTCCCCAGTGTAGCCTTCTGAGAACTATAAATAAGAATTTGTGGGATTATTTTGTCAAAGATTAACATTAAACCTAAACTTCAAATGTTTCAATAATATAGTTAAAATATATAGGACAGTAAAAATTAGAGATAAAGTAGGTAATCTACTTACATTTCAGGAAAATGTAATGCATTTTCAAAGTATATTACGTCCAGCTCACTACCTTTCATAAAAAGCAGGTCAGTAGTTCAATGCTTTTAGATTTCTGAACCTCCCCTTGTTCTTTAGTTATTTTGCTTTCTCTAGAAATATTGCATGTCATATATGCTTTCAGAAATTCTTTGGTCTAAGAGGTGCTGTGAGAAACCCCTGATGACTTTGCAGCGTGTCAGGGGAGTTAGTTACAAGGCAGTTAAAGTTGATGTTCCCAGCTCCTGAGATGTCTCATCTTAAAATGCAAATCCTTTGGTGAAGGAATTAGGCTGCTTCTGTAAGTATACCTGTTTATAAACATCTAGTACACCAGCATCAGATCTGCACCAATTCTGGTAGGTTCTTCGGAGTCTAATTTACTGCAATAGCTTTGATAGGTTGGATCACAAATTAAACAGATGGCATGTGAAATGGTTATTCTGAACCACTAAGGGATGGTAGAACATGCTCTTCAAGTAGTTTTCTACACCTCTCTCTCTCTCTTCTTCTCCTCATTTCAGCTTTTTTTACCTTTTTTTCTTTTTTGTTTTTTTTTGCCAGAGCCCTTTCCAGATAATAATCAATTTACCCTCTTGTGCATTTCTAATTTTTTTCACATGTTCAGATTGTGAAGCCCTTTATATAATCTATTTTCCCAGAAACATGGTAAGGACCATTAGATACTTTACTCTTCTATTTCTACCTTGTATGTATTTGTGTTTCAGTTGTTTTGAGCGGTTTGGACTTGGGTTTTTTTCACATTTTATTGTGACTCTGACAAACAGCAATAGCTAAGTTGCTACATACTTTATAATGTTTTTCCCTAGCCTAAGTGTTTGCTGTTTTGAAGGTTGAACTCCTCCAATGTGAAGAGGCCCTTGTTGTAGTTTAGAAAACACTTAGTTCATCTACCTGATGGGTTTAAAAAGCATTAACATTCATTGAGTAGCTTTCTCATCTCTTTGATTTTGTCTGTTGATGTTTTTAGTCCCTTTATTTACTGTGTTTGCGTAACTAGTTTAGCAGGAAATAACACATGACTATTTTGATTCCTCTGTATGAGATACATAGTGAGGATTGGGGTTTTGGACCATTAAAACACTGCCCAAGAAAGGAGAAGTCACTATTTTATTTTATTTTATTTTATTTTATTTTATTTTATTTTATTTTATTTTA